CGGAATAGATTGATCGACGCAGGATGGGCCATGAATATATGCGTCAGCACTTTCGTGTTCGGATCGGATTCTACATAAACTGTATACTGGCTGCTCACGGCCAAATGCATAAGCTGAGTAGGAACGTCTCTACCGTCGGAATCCTCTCTCCGCAACTTATCTCTAAAGTTATATACCTGTCACCGATTAGCGTTAATTATAATGATTATTATAATTTAAAACAAAAATTTTATTATATTAATAAATAAAAAAGTATATTAATGCGATTAATTTGATAAAAAAATTATTAACTATCACAATAGTAATACATTACTAAATATAATAAAATTTATTATTTATTACAATAACTTTTACATATAAAAAATTACTAATTATCATAATTAACTTAAAAAAAATAATTAAAACATATATTACAAGATATAAATATATATATACCTGCCGCACATGAACGTTGTCTCCCGGATTCTTTTCCTTCAGCGCGGCCATAATTTTTTTCCGGGCCACCTGAGCATCCGTCATTTCACGAACAATTCTCTTAGATGAAGCGCTGAGACCGCTCAACTGGCTATGACCCTCAGGATACACAGCAAATGCATGGTTATGGTAGCCTTTCTCTACATTGCTACATCTGCAGATCCTCCAGTATGGAGCGCCGGACAACTTTTTTACTTTGATCTCAAAATTGCAACCGCACTTATTCGTTTTTGTCCTTCTAGAGTTTCCGCCTGTGCCTCTGTACCGTTCGCCTCTATGACACTTCAAAACTCTGACCGTTTTCTTTTTGTGGCTCGAAATAATTAATAGGAAACCATTCAGCATTGCCTGGTGTTTTGCAGCTTCAATAGCCTCCTGAGCACTACTATAGAATGAAGATGTATCGAAACGCTCACTGTAATCAACACCATCTCCTCCAAAATCTTCCCATGACTCCTGCTATATAGTACAATTTTTAGAACATGTTAAATTAAGATAATTAATTCTAGGATGTAACATAATAATTTGTAACTCGTAACATGATATTATCTAACGTTCAATTAATATAATTTGTAACTCCTAACACGATCACGATAATATGTAAACGTCAATTTATAACATAACTAAAACTAATATATAATGTAATAATTTTTAACTCGTAACACGATAATATCTAAACGTCCAATTTATATTATAATCAACATGTAACATAATAATTTGTAACTCATAACACGATAAACGTCCAATTAATAGCATAATGACGTCTAAAATGTAACATAATAATTTCTAACATAATAATATAGTCCAATTTATAACATAACTATTTCGAATAAAAAAAAAAAAAAAAAAAAAAAAAAAAAAATTCCGGCCGGCCGGCCGTCGTTTCCGGACGGCTTTCTTGCCGTCCGGCCGGCCGGTTCGGACAGCAACGGTCCGTCCGGCCGTGCTTTCCGGCCGGGTTTACTTGTCGTCCGGCCGGCCGGTCCGGACGGCTTTTAGTCCGTCCGGTTCCGGCGACCGTACACGTATTTTTTCGTACCTCCGAATTTGACGACATTTCACCGTACACTTTCCTCTGAGATGTTTAGAAAAAATGAGAAGGGCAAAATTGTCCAAGGGGGGCGGTGACTAGTAATATGGGGGGCGGTGAATAGTAACACCCTTTTTAAACCTTTTCGGTTAGTGACACGGGAGATAGCAACATATAATTGACAATGATTGAATACTGGTTTCTTAAGAAATAAGCCAACATGAGATAAAGATTGTCCCTGGCTCTTGTTTATAGTTATGGCGTAAGAAACCATAATGGGAAACTGTCGCTGCTGAAACTTGAAAGGAATTCTAACATCAGAAGGAGTTATGACCATTCTTAGAATCAACACCTTATCACCAGCATGATCTCCTGTGAGTATCTTACACTCGAGAACGTGAGTGGATAGCTTTGTCATAACAATTGTGTCTCATTATAAAAACCCATAGAATGATCCATGTTTCGCAACAACATGACTGGAGTTCCAATCTTCAAATACAACTCATGGTTCGATATTCCGGAACACTTGATACTATTCAAAAGCTCAGGCGTATGTAGATAAGACAAAAAATAATTATTATAATCCGATTTGCATGTACTGTCAGAGCTCAAGTACATACGACCATCCAACAAATTCAATGATGTCATGTACTCATTGATAGACTCGACCACATCCAACGTCGGCGCTAATATAGCCATATTATTCAAATAACTTGGATCGTCGGGTGCCTCTTTATGCATTGGATATGTGCTTTCAACGATCTCGGCAATAGGATCATCAGATGGCTGAAGCAAAATGTCCTCGAGTATGTCTATAGCTGCACATCCATCATTCGACCTCCGATAGTTCCATCTCCGATGTTGGCTATCCAATCTGCAAACCATGCAAGCTCATGACGTTCATCCGAATTAGCAAGTCCCTGAAGGCGCATGTTTTTCGTAAGCCTAAGCACAATACAACTTCTCAATATGTCAAAAGCATTAATGACAGCATTGACTATGTCCTGACGGCTACCCTTTGGAATGACAAGAAGGATTTGTCGAAAATCTCCACAAAAAACAATCGGCTTCCCAGCAAACAGTTTGTTCAAGTTCAAAGGATCAATTGCTCCCATAATACCCTGCAGCGATGTCTGTACAGCTTCGAAACAATGCTTGTGCATCGTGCTTCATCCCATATTATTAGAGAAGCACGAATTATCAATTCCGCTAGAGGGCTTGACTGATTGATGTTGCAAGTAGATTCCTGGTGGGGATTCAATGGTATAGCAAATCGAGAATGCGTTGTTCGGTCCACCTGGCAACAAAAGCGATGCTATTCCGCTGGATGCGACACATAAGACTATGTCGCCTTTGGATCTCAAACCAGCAGATAAAGTCTGTCTTCCCAGTTCCACCATAACCATATACAAAAAAGAGCCCTCCTTGGCCGGATTCAACAACGGACAAAATTCTTGAGTAGACACTCCTCTGTTCGGCTGTCATTTTCTTAAGAAGCATATCGTGTTCAACAGCGAGGGCCTTTCGATCATAATTCAATTCATCCAAAATTAGACGATTCGAACTTGAATTGATGTTCTCCCTATCCGGAAATGGCATAGTTGAGTATTCACGAAAACTTGACCCACGTCGTCTCAATAAATTCTCAAACTCAGCAAGGGCAAGGTTCTTGATTTGTTCTTCAGTGAGCATCAAACCTATAAACCAATTATTTGTCACAATCAATCGATGCATTTAAATTTTGAAAAGTTGTACACAAATTTTCCTAAATAATTGGATAAGGTGACTTTAAATATCAAAGATGAACTGCTTTTGTTACCAAAAAATGTGGGCACAATTTTGAATGTACATCCCGTCCAAATATCAGTTTTATTTTAAAATAAAAATTGCACGTGGTTTTAACCAATTTACACACTTTTTTTTAAAGAAAAAAATTATTCAATAAGATTGGAATAATTGGTTAGAAATTATACAACTATTTGTTTCGTAAATTTGTATCAAATTTGCACGATTGTTAAATTGATTTGTATTTAGAATTGTTTTCATAAATATTTTTTTTGCTTAAGAATCTCTAAATTTGTTACCAAAAAAGATATGATTTAAATTTTGATAATAAAATTAAAATATGATACGAAAAAAATGGGATTCAAATTTTGCCATAAGAATCTCCAAATTTGTTAACGAAGAAATAGGATTCAGATTTTGTTCTAAAGATTTACATGTGTTTTTTCGAACTTTCCATTAATAGTAAGTCAAACATTATATTTATTTGGTCAAACTTTTTATTATTGTATTTTTCCAACAACCTCTTTATATATATAGATTGTATCATAAAAAATCGGTTAGATAATGTAGATAAAAAAATATAATACTAATTAGTTTGTTAGAAATGTGATAATGAAAACCAAGATAAAATGAAATTTACCCAAAAAAATTGTTTGGAATCATTTCCTTTTGAATTTACAAATTTAATACCGAAATTCTATTATATCACATAAGGAAAAAATAAATAATACACGTTTATTAATATATTAAAATATGTAATTTTGAATTTCATATAAAGTAAAAGGTATGCTTATTCAAATTTATTTTTAAAATAAAAGTTATGATAAACATTTATTGATTCTCTTTCAAATATATTAATAAAATAAAAATATAAATCTAAAAAAATTTTGAAACAATCAAAAAAATCGGATTGATTGGCATAAAAAAAGGAAGTGAAATCGGATTTGAATGCTAAAATCGGAACACCTTACCAAATTGAATGCTAAAATATTCGATTTGATTGGTTACCTAATTGCATGGGCTGAAAAAATTCAAAAAAAAAATTTACGAATTGAAGAAGCGGGAAAAACACTATATTAAAGCGAGAAAACGAAATGATTATTTTCGGATTGTTCAAATAATTTTTCTTCTCCGTATTATATAGTAATAGATACTCGAATCCACGTAATCTTACCAAGGCAAAACAAGATAATCAAGAATTTGAAACAAAAATCTCAACTAAATTCCTTAAACCTTATATTCCACCTAAGAATAAAAGCCAATGATATTCCACCTAAGAACTAAAGCCAAGGATGACCATAAATGTGTGGATGTTTTATTATGTTGATTAACTTTAAAGTGATATTCTCGTAACACATTATTATATTAATTTTTTTGGCATGGTTTATTCACTGTAGCATGTAGCATGATTCTTCCTGCTAATGCAAAATTCCATAAACACAATTCTTGTTTTTAGAACCATTAAGTCCCAGAAATTATATGGTGCCAGCCATGCCACAATATGATGTGGCATGTGATGTGGTTTTATTAATTAGATTTATCAATTCCATCATATATATTAGGTGGCTTTTTTTAAAAAAAATTCATACCAAAATCAATTTACAAATTGTTCCCGTTAATTGTCGTCCCCCAAATCCAGTAGATGGCGTCGTTGGCCCTTAGCTTATTGCTGGACATAACCAGAATTTCGCTGAGCCTGACGTCGTTGGTATCAAAGGCCCACCAGTCCTGGCTGCAGCCCATGGCAAGGCCCACGTCGGAACTGGACTGGATGCGTTGGGCGCCACTTTCCCAGTGGATCCCGTTGCTGGAGACGGCGTTTGAGTTCTGGGCTGACCGGCCACTGCACCACATGCACCACCTCTTTTCCTCGTCGCCGATGAACCTCTTCACCACCGGCGAACCGATTTCGAGCTCGTCCCAGGAGTTCTCGATCAGGGCCCGAATCGAAGATTAATCCCCTCGAGAGCAATGAGACTCGGGTTGAATTAAGAAATTTGACTCGTTTTGAATCGGGATTTGAGGAATTTCTCTCGTATGTTGAATTTTTGTTGGCGTTGGGGTTTGTCGAGCAGTGGGTGAGGAAAGGGGGAGGATTTCTGTTCCTGGGCTTGACGAGGGTTGAAGAGTGGGTGAATTTCAAAAATTGGGATTCAATTTGGAGCAATTTAGAGATTACATTGGTTGTTGATGTGATTTCCATGGCTGCAGAGTTTGATATCGGGAGTGTTTATAGAGAGGGGTAACAAGCGATGAGTTTGTTCTTTTGGATGTTACAGAGATTGGTATGATTTTTTTTTAAAAAAAAAAGTCACCTAATATTTGTGATGGAAGTGATAAATCTAATTAATAGAGTCACATCACATGCCACATCATATTGTGGTATGGTTTATGGTGCCCATATGGGCACCATAGAATTTCTACCATAAGTCCCCCACATTTTTTCAACTGGCATCACAAAAAAGTTAAAAATCATCACTTGCTCAACACGCCTTTCTCTTTTTACTGCTCTCTATATTACTGATCACACTTGGATGCTTGGACGACTCACACGAGCATCCCAAGTCATCAAAGCGTCATCACCTTCGTCACCTCTAATCACGCATGATGTCATATGTTTTTGCTAATAAGACAACCGAAGCGGTAGTGTGTTATTTTAGATTATGATTTAAAGTTTTGACAAATTTAGAAAGAAAATGCAAAAGGAATGGAGTTTCGATTAATTAAGGTGCCTGCACCGGTGGTTTTATTTATGGAGTGGGCCGCTCTCGAGCCTAAAAGCCTATCGAAGGTCGTGAAAGCCAGGAAAATGGCAAGAAACTTAATTATAGTATTTGGAGAACGAGGACGAATAGCTATATCAATATTGCTTCATTGGATGCTCTAGAATTGGAAGTATATACTTTGGTATCTCAGGATGATCTTAGAAGCTAAGGGAAGGTCTTTAAAATATAATATGTTTGGGATGTGTGATAGCTTCTGAGAGGCTAACATGCATGGCGACACGTGTCCAAGAAACTTGCTCAACTTGGGCAAGTGGCTTAACCTTTTGGCTGGTGGAAACCGATTCTGGGAGGCAACTCCTTTCACATTAATGAAGGGCAGAGATCGGCAAAGAGAAGGCTTTACTTATGGTTAAGTCGGATGATCACTTCGCACCTTGTGGGAATGAAGTTGGCGGATAAGAGAGATGTCTTCAGGTCAATGTTTTTTGTCTTGGCCGAAGTGCTCAGTACCTTTTCGGTTGGTCGTAGGAAGCTTCNGGTTTGGGGATGAAAAATGCAAGTAGACTAAAAAGTGGGTACTAGTGGGTTCTTGAAAGGTCGACTTATGAGTCATTTATTTGGGGGAAAAGTTGCGTCTTTTGAAATTCTGAAATGGATAATGTGGCGGTTTTCCTTTGATGGCAGGATCTAGCCTATTGAATAGTGTGTCCTTTCAATGTTTGTTTCCCACATGTGAGATTTTGAAATCGCTGGCATGTGACGGGTCCACAAAAAAAATTAAGATAGATCGCACCCAATGAACCGAACTAGATTCCCAGGATGGTCATCCGACAGAGAGGGACCGTGGCGAAAGAGATAATGAGACCAAATTCTACAAGGATTTTAACCCGAGTTGGACGAACATGCCAAGCAAAAGGCAATGAAATAAAGGCCGCTTGCAGCCCAATGATGGGAAATTGCCTGCTAATTTGACGACATGCAAGTCTTACAGTCATAGGGTAGCACGACGCATTAAATGCATTTGTCTAATCAATTAAATGCGTATTGTATGGCCTGGTGAACAGTTTTTGGGTTATAGTTAGTATATATACCCTTGTATTAGATCTGAAAAAGGAGTTAGAAAATATACAACTCACGAGATAAAGATTCTCGTAATAAATACTAAGCGAAGTATCAAACCGACCAAAAAACTGTGATGGCCGACCTGGATCGCTGTTATTTTATTATATTCCTACATTGTCTTATATTTTGCTTCCTTTTGATTTCTTTACCACGATACACGCCCACATTTGGCCTATTTGAGCATCAGTAAATCCACATGAACACATTTAACTCGTTGATCAAATTCGTTTGTCAACAGTGGCGCTAGAGGAAGGACTCCACAATTTGTTTGGAGTCAATTTTAGACTTGTGAACACCAAGTTGTACTGTCTAAGGCCCTATGAGAACAATTTGGAGGGATGTCGGAACGCATTTCTCATCTTGAGGATGTCTACTTCTGTGATCGTACTAGCGAAGTTCCGGCTCCCGCGGAGTACAATCTAGTGGAGTCAAATTTAGACTTGTGAACACCAAGTTTTACCATCAGAAACATCACCAGTACAATCTTGCTTTAGATTTTTAGGGATAATGTGCTAAGGCCCTTGATTTTTGGGTCGGTTCTATCTTGTGAATTCTTATAGTGATTGGCAGATACGTTGTCTAAATGTTTAGTTCAGGGACTCCAATCGGGTCAGGAAAGTCCAGAGCTCTTTGCAGGGGAACGAGACACCAGCTATCTCTGTAGAGTTAACCTTAGGCGGATTGGGGTCTGACCCTTTAGCAGAGTTTTTTAGAGTTCAAGATAGGGTCGTAGTTGGTAATGATGTGGGGAGACAATGCCTCTTCAAGATAGTTTTGATCTTCGATTAATTTTAAATTATTGGATCAGCCTTAGTGTTCGTTGAACTGTCATCTTGTTTTAACCTTTTGGTTTTGGCCCTCGGTTTTTTGTGGATGACCAATTATGATGGATCAGTGGTACCTCCTTACAGTTCATGTCCCCCAGGTGATGGTTCTTGGTCTCGTTTTATTTTATATTTTGTGTTTACAAATGGTCATATATTCCATACAGCTGAGAAAGGTGATATAGTCATCATGTATTCAATTTTTTAGTTTCACAATAATGACCATTGTAGCAATGTACAAGAAATTGTATAGAGTCCTTGGTCCAATGTATTCAGGGATCGTTGGTCTGTTTGTTCCATGTATTGTTTCATGTGAGGTACGTCATCGTCATCGTTGAACCTCGAAAGGAATCGGATGAGGCTTATATCAACAATATGGAGTACGATTGCGGGGTACGCTTTGGGTGCATCATAGCCTCGATAACTGATCTTGTAATGCAGAGATCTCCGGGCAAGATTTCCACTATTAGACCCTCAAGTCTTGTCATAGTCTGAGGTTGTGGTCTGATCTCTAGGCGGTTATAATCAAGAACAGTATCGTGAAAATTGGTGCAGGTAAGCCATTATCTAAATGTGAGGCAATGAAGAAGTCACCAGAGAGTAACTTCTCAGAGCCACCCCCAATTGCCCGACTACCAAGTAGACGTTATTTCAGGACAGAATACTACACCATATGAACGTTCTTGTTGAGAGTGAAAGAATGGATCATTATTCTTTTTAAAGATGAACTAATAATTAGCTTGAGAAAAAAGGGTTTTTAGTTTTGTATCGGGCAATATAACGAGGTAAAAAATGGGGTTTTCTATGGGAAGTGTGTTTGTGGGTGTTTGTTTAGACAGGATATAGGGAAAATATGAGATTATGTGGATGATCAATCGTAGATCTGGACAGGGTGATAAGGGGAGAGGGTGTACGTAGAGGGTTGGTCGTGTCGTCCTTCTGTTTGGTTAAAGTAACGAGATAGAAAGAGATGTGTGAGGATTTATCCGAACAGCTCGTGAATCATTACGGGATCTAGATGCATGACAGCGCCCTCATTCTAGCACCATTTTGTTGACATATGTATTCACCAACAGGACCACCGAAGCGGTTGAGTGTTATTTTACATTATGATTTAAGGTTTTAATAAATTTAGCGAGAAAATGAAAAAGAAAATAGAGTTTATATTCTCGACAAATTGAGGAGTGTTGCACCGGTGGTTTTATTTATGAATTCTGCCATTCTTGGGTGTAATTATGCAAGAGCCTATCTAAAGGTCGTGAAAGTAAAAAATATGTCAAGAAACTTAAGTAAAATATTTGAAGAACGAGATGAATAGCTATTTCAAAAGTGCTTCATTTGATGATTTGGAATGGGATGTATGCACTTTGGTATCCCATAATGGGATGATCTTGCAAGCCTTTGCACCCCTCTATTTATAAAAGGGGGTCCTTAAAATATAGTAACTTGGGCCACGTGGCAGCTTTTGAGAGGATAACAACATGCATGGAGACACGTCTCCAGAATACTTGTTCAACTTGGGAAAGTGGCTTATCTTTTTGGGAGATGGGATTCGATTCTAAACGGAAACTCTTTTCACATTAGTGTTGGGCAGAAATTGAAAAAGAAAAGACCTTGCTTCTGGCAGAGATCGGATCGATTACTTCGTGCCTGGTGAGAATGAGGTCGGTGCATAAAAGAGAGATGTCCTGAGGTCCACATCTTTTGTCTTGGCCAAAGTGCTTCTTAGTACCTTGGCTTCGAGGATACTATGGCGTAATTGTTTTAAGCGGGCTTACTTTAGATTGGCAAATTATGAATATCAACAATACAAATTTGATTGAATGCCCTCTTAGCTAGCACTACTCTTTCTGATCTTTGATTGAATGCCCTCTTAGCTAGCACTACTCTTTCTGATCTGGACAAAGTATGACAAACACTTACAACTTTATTAGTGGATTATTATGGAATAAATTTGAATACCAAATAACAATGTGCATCTTCAATGTAGAAATTGTCGAAAGCCACAACATCCTAATAAAGTAGTTGAGTAATTTCCAAGCTGAAAATACAATGACTTGCCCTTGCCCATGACAGTACTTTCCATGGTCATTTAACTTTGTGACCACAACTTCATTCAGCCATCGATGCAACCAACCCCAATTAAAGGAGTCAGTCTCAATGTCCAAGATCTTATAAACATCTTAAGAGGTATTTCTAATAGATAGTCTAAATAAAATGGATTTGTATTGTTCATTCACATATTGCAAATGAAATAACATATAATGAGTTATAAAAACAGCTTTTTATGACTGAGCTTTAAAATTTCTTTCATGTAAATTGGATTACACAAACTAAGCTCCCATATTGTTGGAAAGAAAAAATTAAGACTATAAAAGGGACATCACTCCCTATTTTATGTAATAAGTTCATAATGGCCACTTGCCACTTTACATTTCTAGTATACGAAATTTATGGGCGATAACATTATTAATAAAGTGAGAGAACAAAATTAAACTCCAAATCTCATAATATCAAAATGGACACCCCTTTTGCTCTAACCAAACTTTTTATATTATTCTCTCTCATATCATCTCTACTCGGAAACATAATATTAGTCACAGTTGGTGCACAAATATCAAACAATTTAATCTCAAAGATATGCAAAAAATCAAGAAACCCAAACCTCTGCTCCCAAATTCTAAAATCCAATCGTGAAGCTCGTAAGGCATCTTCATTAGTTGATTTGGGAGAAATCGCCATAAGTCAAAGTCGATCGAGTGCACAGTCGACCAAACATGCTATATACATGACGCGTTTACTTAAGACAAGAGACATGGTACTTAAAGACCGATACAAATCATGTGACACCAATTATGAAAGTTTGGAGCATACACAACGGTTGCAATAAACAAGCCAATTCATTGTCAAGAAAGTTTCGTACAACGAGCACTTCCAGAGCTAGCATGGCTTAAGGAGGCGAACAACAAGCTGGAATGCCTGTGTAGTGTCGTTTTAGTAATCTTTAACTGCTTATCTGAAAGTGATCCCAATATCCATGGGAGTGAACATCATTAGGGCAAGATGATGGAACGAAAAAATGAGTTGTGGGGATTTTCGTACTTAAAAATTATTTGTCTAAAATAAAGCCCACCTTAATTTGCTTAGCAAGAATCTTTATTGTAACCGAGTTTTGAGTGAATTTAGCATAAATTAACATTCAAAATTATAAAGTTATTTTTGTAAGGTATTGCAATTTTTTTAAAATATCTTATATCTTGAGGGTGCATTTACGACGTAAAACAAATATTGCGAATACCCAAATTCACATTTCAAAACAAAAAGTGGTTGTGACACAATAATGCACTTTGCCAATGAATGTTTTCAAATAACATCTGTTATCCATTTTGTCAAAAAATTATTGATTTTTGGTAAAATATCAATAAAGGACCCGTTTACTTTGGTGGAGATGATAAAGTCCATTTTATTTGTATTTACTTCTCATATTGTTTTAACTCGTGTTTACTCCTTCTAATTGAAATTTATTTATTCCTTCTAATGGAATTCGTCGCTGCATCTCTGGGTAGGACTTTGTCGGCCTCATAATGTTGTCCACCTCTGAGGTTCGTCGCCCTTTGAATGAGTCAATCAAATTGAAAGTCGAACACGAGCTTAAACTTCATCAGTCCCTGAAGCAGAAGGTGGTGGAAATTGAGGGAGATTAATGCTTAGATACAAAACTTATCCAAAAAATCCAAACATTTTTAACTCAACCACTTTTTTAACTCAACTTTAACTCAACTCAACTATCATTAATATTATTAATATAATTAAATAATACCAACCAATCATTCTTACACATCACATCAACCTTAATTCACTATTCATCCACTCACATAATTTTAACTAACCATCACTTCAAATCATCTCTCTCATACTTTTACATCAAATCAACTTTAATTATTTTATTTAAAATATTATTTTAATATACCCACTAATAACTAACCATACCACTTTTTTCAAAATTAACCAAACCAAACCAAAAAATCCAAACAAATCCAAAAGTTTTTATATCCAAGCATCCTCTCGCATTATGAGAATCTTATGTTCGGCAATTTTGGTTGGTGTCAACGATGGCTGCTGGCGAAGAGCGACATAAGGTAGAGATGGACACTTTGAAAGAGTATCATATAGAGCGTGTGGTGTCTTTGATGGTGTATTTGAATCAAAACTTGAATTTGATGTACAAAAAGATGATGCATACTAAAAAAGATGAGACGTCCATGGCAAGGATTAACTTTAAGGCATGTCGAAAGGCTTGTTTGGCTGAATACCCTAAGTCAGCTGATTATGCAGGGAACCTGGAGGTTAATTGGGTTTTCACTTTAGAACTGGGTGCTTAAGAGTTCTGACAAGCGTAGGACAATTGAGGATATTCAGGTCATGCGAAATTTGAAGGGCAATTGTCTCCATCTTTCGGCTGACCTCGTGGTGGTTGTCCCTGATCCAGATGAAGTTACCTATAAAACTATGCAGAGGATGGGTCAAGAAACGTCTGACCCATGTTTGGAGATTATAGTTGAAAGTCCTGCTCTTGATCAATCTGTATATGTTCGTATTTTTAGGTAAATGGTTAACTTGTGGACTTTGAACAATATTTTAGTGTTGGTTTTGATGTTAGTTATTTGTGTTGGTTCGTATTGAAACCTACCGCTGACGGTCTTCAATCCGGCGTGTTAAAGGGATGGGAGTGGTCTATGATTTTGAGTAAAAAGAAATCCTAAAAAAAAAAGGGGAGTGAGGAAAGCTGCAGTAGAAAAAAGATAAAAGAAAAAAAAAAGAACTAGAAAAGTGAGATGGAGACAAGAAAGTATAATAAAGGATAAAAAAAAGAGAGACAGTTGACAAATTTGATATATTTATTAAAAATATTAATATAATTGAAAAATAAAATTGGGGTTTATATATGTATAAATAAATAAAAATAGTTTAGTGATGTGTTGGGTAAATATCTGTTTAATAAATAATGGGCTTTTAAGATCAGACCCAAGTGAAATAAAGCCCAATATGTTTTCAGGCTTTATTGCCTCTCCAATAGTCCGACCCACTTACATGTGTGACCATACTTCTTACAATGACTGGGCTTTTAAGGGCAGACTCAGGTGAAATAAGGCCATACCTTTACAGGATTTCTTGCTTAAAAACCCTACTCACGCAAACCAGAGCTCGGAAAGCTAAAATCCTTGCACATCAACTCGAGCCTTCTCATCATCCTGAACATCTCTCTTCGCCGCCGACGCTAGCAATCTGTGCCCCTTTCGCCGTCTAATCTCGAAATTCGCTAAAATCCATCGTCTGTAATTTCATTTTTGTGTTGATTCTAGGAACCATGTCGGAATTGGGCCAGCCGCTTCCTACCCCAGGTCTGACATCGTCTGCCATTTTTACAAATTTGAATTTCTTCTGATTTCACTGGTTTTGATTA